TAATCATTGTTCTCTCGTCTCATAGCCGGACAATAACGTTGGTCAAAATCTATATATATATATATATAGATTTTGACCAACGTTATTGTCCGGCTATGAGACGAGAGAACAATGATTCAACCACAGGATCATTGGGACAAACCTTTAAAATATTCAGTTATGATACCATAAAGTTTGCTTCAAAAAGAAGCGTTACTTGAGCCACATTTCAACAATAATCTCACACAGTTAATCTTACAACGACGAAGCAAGTATGTAGCAAGCATTAGGTAGATGTCAAGGAAGTAGATTAGTAATGTTAACCACGTTAGCAACCAAAAGTTCTTAAAGGTCGCGGACCGCGAAGCACTGCAGCGCCTGGTCAATGGAACGTCCTAACAAATTTAGCTTTTATCAATAAATCAGACACATATTCATTATTAATGCGCAATGGGAATGGAATACGGTTGGAATGAAGTGTCAAAGTGGGTTACTATACTAACAACGAACTATCCCAACAGAACTATCCCAAAAGAGTCATCCAAAAATGACTGAATCTCGGAGATCGCTGTAAGTAGACTATAGGCTATTTACAAAGGGGCGTTTCAATTTTGGGCAAACATGTGAGTCACACGACCAACATTTAATTTTCAAACGTGTCAACCTACAAACAATTTAGATAAAGGATTTCAGTTGGGCATCCGAGAGTGCTATTGAACTTCTTTCAGATGGTTAGCACCTGGCACAAAAAAATATCATATTTTAAAAAATCAATCAATCATGAGACCGTAAAGAGTAAAAAATCTTTAATAAATCTGATCAGCAACAAGTATAAGGCCTTTAATCAGTGTCGCTTTACATATATAATATTCTGATTCTAGGAGGAATCGCAGCTTATACTTCAAGGTGGCCAAAATTAAGCAAAAAAATTAAAATTACATATTAGTCAAAAATGTAATAAATTTGATTTTTCCTATAAGTGATTTCCTAATGCCCTCGTGCCCTAATTCCTTTTCGACTTGATTAAAATCTCTTATTTCGTGTGCCACTTCTTATTTTGTTCATAATATACTAATATATAATATAGAACTATATAATATTACTAATATATAATATAGAACGCGCTCAAATATGTGTGTATAGAGCCGAGATCAAATAGCAACTTCGTTGTATGTAATAGCAAACTGTCAGGTCTGGCGTATACATGCACATACGTGTACATCCAATGTGCATGGTGCAGGCTAGCATCATCTATTGTCCCGGCGTCGTTCTTTCAACCTGTTTTTTTTCTCGCTAGGGCCACAATTGTAGTTTTAGCAATCACCTTTGCTCGCTTAGATTCGAGATTCACTTTACTGACGGGTCGCTATCACTGTTTCACGTTGGCCTGTGCTACCTCAACACAGTTACTAAGAAAGATTAAGCCTTGCGGCAAGAGCAAACCAAGTTGTCAGTGCGCGACTCTTTGCCCAACGACTCCTGCAATAATTCCCGATGAAGGGAGATGAACTGTCTACTATTAAATTCAATAGGTTGCTATTATCTATATTGTAGGAGCGACGGTAGTACTTGACGGTCGGTCCATAGGACAGCACGAAAATATCCACTGGGGCTTTCCAAAAGACCCCGAGGCACCTGGATATCTGTTTCAGGAGGGGAAATACACATGCTCAATACCTGCTAGTAGTGGTGGCACTAGCATAGTTCCTGGAAACGTGCAGCATACTGACCGACCGACCGACCTGATACCCCACACACTCGGCTGCGCCTCTGTCGAAATCCCAAACCCCTGATTCAAATCATCCTGGCCTAGTCCTAATGCCTCTTGGTCTGGTTTTGTTGGATTTGGGTCGCACGTCCAGCCCCGCCCCAGACCACCAAGTGCTCCGGACAGTTTCTCCTAGGTCGCTGTAGACTCCATGTGCCCCAATAGCCAGTCCCGTTTGTCCGGTCTCTCGCCTGCTATCGCCGCTACTGCCAATAGTGCTCGTGCTTCGTGGATCCCCAATCGAGTCGCGTTGGTGCGCTCTGTGTGTGTATGGCGAGTCGACAAGCGTAGCGGGTACACCAGAGTACTTTCTCGAGGACAACAGTGACGTTTCGACACGGTAGTGTCGCTCGATGAAGCTATGGGCGTTCAAAGCCATGTTGTGTCAGGGAATAGCCATAGTTAACCAGCAGGGGCTACTATATATATAGAGGGGGTGAAAAAGGGAGAAACACCAAATGAGGACTAGGTAGGCCCTGCAACAGTAGCAGGCCTGTTCGACGGCTAACGCCACCCGGAAGAGCCTTTGTCGTGTATTCTCTGCTTGACCTAGACAGGGACACCAAAGACAGGGCTGTTCCATGGTGCTACAAACGGCGATGGTGGCGCCTCTGGCGGTGAATACTGCATTAGCAAAGCGTTACTGGCACGCCATTGTCCGGCGTTTAGACGTGAGAATGAAGACTGGGTTCGCGGAGATCGGCAGACATTCAAGACAGTGCCAGCACCCGGTGGTAGATCGACCTGACGCAGGCACAACCCGTTGTCTTTCCTTAAGAGGGTCGACGTCAAGATTACTGTAGCAATGAGGCGTAATAGCCCTACAGTGCTTGACCTTTTAGCACGTTGACAAGGACGCTCTTGGAAAGTAAGACGGAGTCAAGGCCTGCCGAGGCAGGACAGAAGTATGATCGATCGATTTTTTTTTGCTTGTTTTAGCATTTTTGTTAACTAAAATTTTTATTAGAATTGTGTGCAAACACCGACAATGTGTGATGATTATAATGTGTTATTGCGAAAGAAGCGTCTGAGTAACGCGAGTTCGGGGGCTAACGAGGATACCGCCCTTCGCGCTGTATGCCCTCTTCTGGTAGATGGACATTGAACTTCTGTGCATATATGCGGGCCACAAGAAGCACATGTGCGAGTTTAGCCTAGCTGCTAATAGCACCAATTTAATTAAAGAGTTTTGTATTGTTTCGGACACGCTAGAAGATAAAGACGACTCTGTTTCGTAATTGCTTGTGCTAAAGGTGTCAAAATAGGCGTGCATCGTGCGTAAGGAGGCTTCCGAAAATCAGCTTCTACATCCAAAAATAAAGCCAAAATGCCGCGTAAAATTTCATTTCGGGTCGATAGTGTGACGAGCGAAGACGACGACCATCAGGCAAGCGAGCTTAATCAACATGGTCCTACCGTAAAAGGATGGCTTTCAAAGAAGTAAGTTCAAATTGAAAATTACATCAATTTATTTACAGATAATCTGTCAAAGCATGGGTAAACGACAACATACAGCTTACCTGTGCACAAATAGCCGATTGATTGTAGAGAAACATTTTGGATTTTTAAATATGTTTAGTGATAACGTATGATTAGCAGTTCTTCGAAACATTAGAGCGTAAATTCCATCCAGCAGTATTTGGCCTGCGATACTCAACACATCGACATAAAACTCCGGCACAACATAATAATCTACAGGCCTAGATTCTGGTAGGTGTATTCGAGGAAAAAACTAGCAACGTCGTGAATGTATCTATTGAATCACAGGATTAATGTCATGGCTAATTTGAAGGGCTGACTTCGTTCTATACCAAGGAAATCGTTCTCCGCACCTAGCGAAATCTCTTTCGACAGGTGAAATCGACACATCTAAGTCTACTATCACGCAACTCACCTATCACGCATCATAATTCACGATACGATAAGACCTATTAGCTAATAATTTTTCAAATTTTTGTTTCCAGTTTGACACAGCGCTCAAGTTTACATAAGGTAATTTTCAAGTTATTTCGTATGGCCTTAAATTGGCGGTCCTTTACTTAAGATTAAGCGTAAAGCGGGCACAGAGGCCTGCTTGTTCTTACCAGACAAGGGGTGTGCACTTATGTGCAAAACTGCACGACTGATAGAAGGAGATCAGCGGGTATTATATGTAGTGTGATGGCAGAGGTAACGATGATGGTGGACAGCCCGCCCATTCTGAGGTCACCGTGATGAGGCACGTTCCAATGTTGTTCAGAGTTCGGAGCGCTGGAGTGCCGGAGTCGCACCAACCGTCATCGGCGGAATCGGGCCAAAGTCGAGCCGATGGCGACATTGCGTACGGCGCTGTACACTCTTTGTTCACTGCTCTTACTCCACGTTTATCTGCTGCTAGACATGGAGTCCTTCAGCTGAAGGCCATTCGCACAGGGGCACGGGCACGCACGACAGTCAGCACTATATACTGCTGGCTACGGGCTTTAGCCGACTGCATTGGCAGCATTGACAGACAAGCCGTTATACCAGTTTATATGTAGAACACATTCATGTACAATATTTCACAACGCATATAGGCCGTGCAGCTGAAACTTGCTTATGATTTTTTGAGCGTACATCTATATCTATATATATATATACACATATACGTATACGACCATACATGTCCCTCCAAGAAGTGTTGTGAGTTTGACTATGCAGGTTTGTCTCCTACAAGAAAGCAAAAGGCTTCCTTGTATATGCGGTTAAAGCGGTTCAACCATGAACCTTATAGCCGAGCATGCATAAGCTCTTTCCCGTTGTGTAAGAAGGATTCCTTGAATCGTAAGTTAATGCATTACGTTTTGTGGTTCTACTCTAGATACTAGGTTCTATGGTTCAAAAGTTTTTCTGAGAGTACATCTGCAATGTATCCGCAACTCACTCCAGTTGGTAGAAGATTTGTTTTAAGGACAGGTTTTTGACAAGCATAATAGATGACAATTGCAACTAAATTATAATAAGGATAATTCAGAAGTCTTTTCTTCCTATTGGTTTATTTTTTTATGTATTTGACAGACATACACATGCGGTACTCACACATTCATCAGACACAGTTCGTATCTACTAAAATTTTTATACCGTTCACAATGCTAGGGAAGGGCCAACTAACAACACGATGTTAAGTAATTATAAGGACATCGGGCTAAGTACTATGATAAAACATTACATTAGGATAAAGAACTTGATTTAATTTTTCACAGTTTATTATACTGTGAAATAATAGATGGAAATAAGGTATTTTGAGTGTCGCATCCGTAACTGCGGTCGCGTTGAATGCGACTGCTAGCACGAAACATATATGTCTGTTCAAAAATTAGTATCTCAGTCACTGAGAGCCTTGGCAGCTTCGCCGTGCTAGATATTCATTTGAACAGAAAAAAACTATTGTCTTCTGAGAAGCTAAGCATGCCGTGGTCAATTAGGTCTTGCGACATCGGCCTTTGGCTTTCGATATGTTTATGTGGAATTTATTCGGGTGTTGGCAATAGAGGTGGCACACTTCATTGATAACTCGCCAACGCAGACATGTCTAGGAGGCAAGTCGCTGCATGAATCGTTGAACAGCTTGTCGCTTCGTCTATAGAATAAGGATATGGACGACACAATCGACTTGGATCTATGCGCCTAAAAACGTCTACAAAAGCATTAACGAAAATCGTAATCGCGTAAATTGTAATTAATTTTTCAGTACCGTGACAACCGTGAAAAATGTCCATGCGTATATAGGCTAGCAGGGCACTACCAGACCATGTACTACAACGCTGCAGATGAAAGTCACAAAAAAAAACACTGATCGACACAAGCGACTACTGCAATTGGCATAATATGATTGTGATTTGTCCAACAATAAGGCCACGGTCAGTAGAACTATGTACGTCTATTGAGCGTACAAACAGGTCGTAACCTACTGGCTTTGCAAACAATTAGACTGATAGTTGCTGTCACTGGCGAATTTTAGAGATTGCCCGTGGCTCGTCTGTGGGGCATAGTAGAGTTGCACTCGCTACGTTGTATCCTTATGTGTCCTTAAAATAACACGTAAATAACACCTTTAACACCAGCGGCTAACAACGTAGATTTACTCATACATAGTATAACAAAATTATAATAACGGTAGTTCAAGACAATTACAATTCTCTGTTCAACAATTAACAATTCTCTGTAAATTTAAATACGAACTATCAGAAGAATATTATGCGAAATTATTGCGTATTGGAACAAGATTTCTTCTCATTGCTGGAGTTCTGTCCTGAGCCGTCAGATCTCAATCAATCTATCTGCAATAGAGACAGGACAGAATCCGAGAATATTTCGGATTTGAAATCAGATCTCGATCTAATAGTGATCCTATTAAGTGCGCTGGTAATAGTTATGACATAATGGCGAATTGCACAATTGGCTAGCCGGCGGTAAGCGGTGGCTCCTATGCTTAGAGCTAGTGCGTTCATAGAGCCATCCATATCTACTACACGACTCTTTACCAAGATGGACACATAGCTGAACAGAAAGAAAAGGGTAAGAGCCATTTGACTGGTAGATAGAGACCAATTAGAGCCACCACTCTGCAACGCTGGACACTAGCCAGCAAACTGTCGAGACTAGGAGTGCAGCATCATTTCCCCCGTCAATCTCTTTCTCTGCAATGATCTCGGCAGTTGAATTCTGTCTCTCCGCTTGTCCGCGTCGCTTCCTTCACTGGGTGGCTAACTCTGTACTCTGTTTTTTCGTGGTCGCTAATGAGCTCTTGGGGTGGGTTTGGAGTTTCAACGAAGTCAATGCAAGGGTAAAAAGCGTGAGATCTACGTAATTTTTATTGTCATCACTGCAAGGCACCATCGTAGAGTTCTGGGCGTGCGTTGCGCCAGCAACCGCAGACATATTTCGACATAAAGAAGCTACAGCAGTGCTTCTGTTTAGCCCTGCATAGTAAGAGCTAAACCATCCTGCCGCGGGCAGGCGAAAGGCAAGCCCAGGAGATTTGAGCCACCGGCCATGTTACGGCTGCCAGCATTAAGTCTCAAGGCCCAATTCCGTAAGGATTTTATTTTAGTATTCAACGTATGCGCTACGCCGGGAAAGACGAACGAGAATCGCTATCGGCCCGTTTCCCCGAGCTCAAAGTGGTCTAAGGGCTCTCCTCAAAAACATCGTGCTTTCAACAAAGCAGCGTCGCCTGACCCTAACTTTGCCATCGGGGCTTCGCCTACCTCAATGCGGCGGCGCTAACTAGCCCCTTCCTCCACGTGATCGCCATTATTATTTAATCTGCCCTGCTGGCTTTTGTGAAACGCGTTGAATCTACAGGATTCTTGCGAAAATCCGGAGTAGTAACCTACTGGCAGGAAGAGATGTTTACGACAGCCATAGGCGAATCGTTTGTCCCTCAGAAGCAGATAACGTGCCCGTCTTTTGTCTCGGCGCGCCGTGATAAGTGCCCTGTACAGCTCTCTTAAGGGTAATGGTGGATCACCGTAATGTTGAACTGCCACAGCATTTTAATAAGTTTGTGCCCCCTTAGCTGATTCAAGCTACCAATGCTATTGGTCTCATCTGCTGTCGCCATCGACGCTGCTATTATGGCGAAGTTGAAAAATGTTTCGAGTTTTACGTTCGGTATTTAGGTCGTCAGCCGTTGCTTCCGACGAATAGCAGCTAGCATAAGACGAGCCATGTATCTATGCCCGGATTCAAGCTTAGGCCAACACGAGTTTCTAAGTTTAGTAGGCAAACACGCTACTACAGTACCATCACGGATAAGCGGTTAAATCCTTGTGTACGTGTTTATCCCTCATGTTATATCCAGCCCACTGCTGTTTTTCGAGCGATATAATTATTAGGTTTAAAAAAACTAGATTGTGGGTAAGAGTAAAAGATTTTTGCTTTATTGGTATTTCTATTTCGTTTGAGTACAGCTATCAGCTGCTTTCATATTAATCATTTTTCATGCCTGTATTCATCTATTTATTATAGTTACGGATCCCCTTAGCGTCTGCTAGATATTCCTCAGTATGTTCTTTGTTCTGGCTCATCGTTGACTCTATTTCATTATACTACCACCATTAGATTAGTGTACCAACACCATATTCACATGTTGATTTACCATATAGAACCACCTCGAAGTTTCCAGGTGCAAATGCGTTTTGATAACCATATCTCTCTATGTAATCATAAAATATGACTGAAATTACTTTTGCGGCTACTATTTTATCTCTATTTGAATTTATCAAACTTACAACGTTTTATAAGACGTTAGCGATCGCTTGTAAAGCTTGTATTACATAAACCTTCAGATAACAAGCTCACAAAAGCTGTTTAACCAAGTGGATCCAAATCCAAGCTTATAGGCAAGCTTATCCACTCGTTTCGACAACTTCTCTAATTCCCATTGCGCACCTTCGTTTTCCACACCAATCCTTCCA